ACTCCATTCGGCTTATCACTACCCTTACTACAAAACAGTCCATAAAAAAGAAATCCCCTTGGAAACATTTGTTGAGAAAATTTAGATAAATAAAATATTCATAATTTCAAACTTTGATTGTTGCATTTAAAGTTAAAAACAGTGATTTTCAATGAAATTTGTTTCATTTCTTGATTTTCCTGTGCGTCATTATTGATTTTCCTGACCACGAATTTTCAAAATCAAATGTCTTGGAAACCATTGAACAGAAACGGGTGCCTATCAAAAAATATTATGACTAATGCTCTTAAGTTTAACCCTGATCCAAAATATATTCGTTATTTTGAAATTTCAAAATGACCAGGAAAATCAACTCAAAAACGCCATTCTCAGGAATCACCCTAATAAAGATGGCTGTAAAATGATTTTTGTGTGTTCATATTATGTGTATAACTTTGTTTACAAATGTTTCTTATTTTTCTGGCTCTAATAAGACTAAAATAGCATACGTATATTAATCTGGTAAACACAATTTAATGCTTATCGTACTCTCCTTCAGCGCGACGTTGGAGATCCAGGAGTTGTTGATGGTCTACTAATGGGTGTTGTCAGCTTTGGACCGCCCGTTTGTGGTACTGCGGATGCACCCACAGTGTTCACTAAAATTGGCTACTATACTGATTGGATTGAAGAGATTATGGAACAGGTTATTGTTACGCCCTTTAATATAACTTTAGCTACATTCTTGTAAAGACATTGGGAAATGTGTATTTATGTTTTGATACTTAATATACCAATCCAGGAACATTGTAATGAAGTGAAGACGAGCAAGATGCATATTATACTTATATCTCATTCGTTGGGACCCACCACATGGTATTAAAACGAAACATTTGTTTTTTCCAGGATGTGCCTACTGCGAAGCAAAGAACTACTTTGTTGCCTATTAAAGAACCTATCAGTTATGTAGAACACACAGTGCGAATGACAACGTCATTCAAAATTACTCCTCCGAGTGGAACTATGAATCCCGTTCCAATAAGTGAGGTTGATGCTTTGAGAATGTTGCAAAATTCTGCAGTATTCCAAGAATTCTTAGAAACAATGTTCGGAAACAAGGAGAAAGTAGAATATCAAGATATGTTGGAACAACCGGTTGACGACCAAATGATGAGACACGAAGCAACTGAAGTCACGACTGAGACAGTAGCGACCACCACACCGGATATACGAATGACTATGCGATTGGATAAATCACGGATAACTCCACCTTCCCATGATATAGGAACTCCAATAGGAAATTTCGAACCAGAAGACACTTATCCAACAGATATACAAGAGATATCTACCAACACATCTAATACATACGTGAAGATAGGCAAAGACGCGGAATTGGAGAAAGATCTAGTTGAACTTATCGATAATATTGATCTCAAAGATATAATCGATAACATATCCAGTTTAGAGAACGATAAAATAGTTGACGAAACGAAATTAATAGAATTATTGGGCAGTAAAAAAGTTGGATGTAAACTATCCAATGCTAATGACACAGTATTGACACTGTTATATTTATCAGATTCCGAAAAGAAACCTATTGGAGAAAACAGTGAGATGAATGAAGATAATGATAACGGTGAAAGATATCAATTAGGAGACAAAGGATTAAGCATTGAAACGAGACCATTTCAGGATATGACGTTGAGGAATAAAAATTCTTCATTGCTGTATAGGATTTTAAATGAGGACCTTTATGATCTCATGTCTGATACCATCGATACAAATGCTGAGCTAAATAAAAAATATTAATCTGTTTCATGTAAATTTTTGTATTACCTCCTTGCGAAAATAGCTAGCCTATAAAGTTATGAACAAAAAACTAAACAATTGTAGTTATGCTCATTTGCGACAAGAACGTGTTAACGCAAATATGTATCGTTATTGAATAATAATATAGTAGAATTCGGCGCATCGCGCTCTACTTGCTGCTAAAACGCCATATTTCTAGCGCAGAAAATGACCGAGTAATGAAAGAAAAGGTTCGCGACTATTGGTTTAGCGCTATCTCTTTCCGCTCCTAAGTTCAATGCAAGATCGGTTTATGTCAGTTGTCGCCGCAAGCTTGAGGGGGAAAGTGCTGCCTGATTGCGGCAAAAATGTAACAGCTCATAGTGTCACGGTTTTGTTGAAAAGGTAAATACAGCTTTTTGTTTTTTTAGTGATTTATTTTTGCAGCTATAACGGGACATTTTTATGTGGCTCATTATTGTAGTAAAAATAGTAATCGCATGCTATGGTTTACATAGGATTCTACCGTTGTTGCTGAAATAAACAATTATTTTTGTTGGTTAATTTGAGATGTTCCGTTACAGTTGATAATAAAAGTACAAAATGTTTGGTACTAATGTTGGTTATCTCAAATTAACACTTTCTTGATAAAAAATAATACATTTTTACAACGAATAGCTTACAATGTTGCATTATAAATGATAAAAATATTGAAAATTTACTTACTGAAATTCCAGGCTTAATTACACAATCTTTGAATTCCTCTTCCACTGTCGCTGAATCTATTTTAAAGGCAAGTTTAAATAATTGAAATAGCCAATTTAAGTCTCAACACATTGATATAATAAAATCTTTTAATCAGCTAAAGAAAAAGAAAACCGCTGATTTATGGGGTAATTCCATTGAAGTTTCTAAATCGGTAATTGAGACAATAGCTCCAATCCTAGCTTATATATTTAACGAATGTACAGACTGTGGTATTTTTCCCGAGCTCATGAAATATAGCAAAATTATTCCTTTAAATACTATATATAGACCCCAACTAACTTTAGACCTATATCCGTGCTACCTACATTTAGTAAGATTTTTGAAAAAATCATGCTGGATCAAATACAAACGTACTTTTACAAGAATAAGCTTATGAATCGACAACAATTTGGTTTTACAAGGGGTCGCTCGACAACCGAAGCCGGTGTCGAGTTAATACAAGAAATTTTTAATGCCTGGGAGGATTCACATGATGCGTTAGGTGTTTTCTGTGACCTATCTAAGGCATTTGATTGTGTTTTTCATGAAACATTGATTAGGAAACTGCATTTTTATGGATTTAGAGATAACTCATTGGATTTTATTGTCTCATACTTGACTGACAGAGTACAGAGAGTTGATATCAATGGCAAAAGATCCCCTGGATCGAAAATTAAGATGGGCGTTCCGCAGGGCTCAATACTTGGTCCTTTCTTGTTTTTGATTTACATAAATGACTTGCCTTATTTCGTAAGGGATGATCACGAAATAGTTTTGTTTGCGGATGACACTTCACTCTTGTTTAAAATTAAAAGAGGGTTACCTCTAAATGACGATGTGAACAATTCTATCGCTAAAGTAGTACATTGGTTTAATGTAAATAATCTTCTCCTTAATGAAGGAAAAACAAAATGCTTAAAATTTGTACTACCTAATGTTAAAAAAGTAGATATAAATGTTAATATAAAAGATAAGAACATGGGCCTTGTGGATACCACAGTATTTTTAGGAATAACATTAGATTCTAAACTACAGTGGGGCCCACATATTGATAGATTGTCGAGTAGACTTAGCTCTGCAGCATATGCCGTAATGAAAATACGTAGGTTAACTGACATAGATACTGCCAGATTAGTATACTTCAGTTACTTTCATAGTGTTATGTCGTACGGAATCCTATTGTGGGGAAATGCTGCCGACATACAAACAATTTTTGTGCTTCAGATAAAGAGCAATTCGATCAATTTATAATCTTAGGATTAGGGACTCTTTAAGCGAGAAATTTAAGGAAATAGACATTATGACTGTTGCTTCTCAATACATATACGAGAACTTAACGTACGTTCGTAAAAATATTAGTTTGTTTTCTATAAAAAGCGATGTACACAATTTTAATACAAGAAATAAAAATAAATTAACGGTGCCTGTCACTAGACTGCAAAAAGTTAATAACTCATTCAAGGGTCTTTGTGTGCGCTTCTACAATAAGGTCCCAAGTAAAATACAACAATTAGATATCATGCAGTTTAAATCTACTATTAAAAAAATACTTATTAAAAAAGCTTATTATAAGGTATCCGATTATATAACAGATAAGAACGCTTGGACTTGAGATGATCCAGCAACTGGATAGGTGATTACTTCTAAACTCATTATCTTGTTTCCATTATTATTAAATGATTATGTTATTATTATAAGACCATAGTTTTTTTTTCTCTCTCTGTTTATAATGTATTGATCTGGTAATGACATGGTTTTTGTAAATGTCATTACTCTTATTAGAGCTGGTGAGTTTCTTGCTCGTGTCTTCTTATCAGCCAAAAGACGTCCTGAACGAGTGGTAGGGAAAAAATGTTGGACGATTCAAAAGTACTTTTAAGAAGTCTATTTGAATAAAGATTATTTTGACTTTGACTTTGATTATTACTTGTATTTCAGCGAAAGTTACACAATAACTTCGCTAAAATATCTTTCATTTTGTAAAACAAAATACAAAAATAAAGAGATTTCTACGATTACATGTCTTAATTAAAATGTTCCATACCTTTATATTACAGATTATAAATAAAAACGTAACAATACGACATAACTTGTAAAGGTTTAGATTTTTATCCAATTTTTTTTTTTCAAGAAAATCGGTACATATCTGTTTGTTCTGCACATATTTGTTTTTTTTACAAGAATAACGCAACAAGGAGGTCCCTTTTTTAAATAAATAATCATAATAAATTTAATAACTAACTTAAAGGTCTGAATGCAATTTGATCCAAAAACCGAAAACCTTGAAGTTAAGTTGTATTGAGCTGAATAGGCTAAACAAAATAATTAAAAAGTTACAGGAATTTCAAACTTTCAAGAGCGTTTTATCACAAATTGAGATTTTTACTTTGTCACGTTCTTGTCGCAAATGACAATGCGTGAAACGGAAGGCGTTTAAGTATCTGTCTGACATTTCATCCTTCCCTATTTGTTCGCTAGAGGGCGCCGTAGATTTTTTGTCGTACGGGTTGGTGTCGAATTTTCCGTGTTCATAAAAAAATATACAAAAAGGTAAATTGTACAAAAACTTTTACATAATTATATGCGTGTTGTATTCCTCTAACTTATAAAGTGACAAATAAATCGCAAAGGGTGGTAAGTAGTGAAATTTAATTGTGTAGGTAACATGCAGGTTTTGATTCTCTATTCGAATTTCGAATCAAATTCCGTCGTAGATTGGTTTGAAAGTGTATTTTCTTTTATTTATTTCTTTAATTAACGCTTATATTCTGTACTTAGTGATTTCTTATAGAATTAGTGAATATTTTTCGTTATGTAATCTGTCGATCGATCATAATTTTCATTCGAAATAACCTTACTTTTGCTTATCTTGCAACATAGATTTTAAATTGTAGCGAAGATAAAGATTGTGCGGGTTCATTTTATAAGTTAAAGAAAGGAGGATTAAATTTGTAATTATTCATGTAATCATGGACTGATTATCTATATCTACCAATAGGTATTAAAATAATAAGATTTGTATTTGTATAGACCAGCATAGAGACTAGTTTTATACATACATCATTTTAAACAAAATGGTTGTAATGGTTGCTAACATGCTGTTTTTATATGAAGGTGTTTATATAGAATTCTACTTGCCAGTATAATTCTAGTTAGTTTTAATCAAGTGGTATTGAGAAAACATTCTCCAACTCCAATTCACTTAAATATTGAGTTATGAGTTTCACATTTTTATCAAGAAATGAGACCTCAATTTTACATGAAAAAATATATCCTTTTAATATTTGCCATTTACATAATCATCAAACAGAAACTTATATTAATAATCTTATAACTCTCAAATGTATACAATAACCTAAAGATATATAAATGATGTAAACTAAGAACGAACTTCCTGTCTATCACTTGAAACTATACTTTATTTGAGTACAGACAAAACATTATTTTAAACATATTCTTAATGAAAAATTGATGAAAAAATCAAACATCCACTTTGTCCCTGGCACTCTGAGATGAGACTTGAACCCATGACCTTTAGCAATCTGGGCGAATGCTCTTACCGCTGAGCTGCCCTACACCTAACAGGACTGATGAATCTTTCAAGCACTTGTTACTTTATTCCTACTACAGACCATATTTAACAATTATAAAAATAAAAAAAATCAGTATAGCATTGTGAATGCAAAATTGATCAAATGTAATACTTTGTACATGTTGTGGTTCATAAAATCAATAAATTACTTGTTACCTACATAACAATTCCATCAATAGGTCCTTTATCTTGTGTCTGGGTATTGCAGTACCTTGATTCAGAATGCAATATTATAAGTGCTTTAGTTATTTAGTTTGGTAACTGAGTAATGTATTTGATGTGCAGTGCTCATGGAGATAAAAGTAATAAATTTTAATTAATTCAATCTTTTAATGCGTTTTGTTTGTTACAGATGGCAAATTTTCTCCTACGCCGTGCGCTGCTAGATGCAGTCCGCGTTCCCGTTGGCACCCGTGCAAGCAGTGAACTCGCCAAGGTTTAATAAAATATTTTTAATGCCGAAATAATACTAAATATATGTAAAAGTACATAAAAACTAATGATTTTACGCAAAGCAGCATATAAAAAAAGAGAGAACAAGAACGTGAATATTATTTACGCATTGGACACATTATAAAATTTGTGCATAGACTTAAGGTCTAGTAACACTGTGATTGCATTTGTAGTTTTAATCCTGAATTAAAGAGGAATTCTAAAGAATTCTAACATAAATATGTGCAGCTTTGTATTGTGTGTCTACCCAGATGCTCCTACTTTATTAACAAAACAAAAGAAACTCATGAGAATAATATTTAATATAGATGAAACAGAATCATGTAAGCCTTACTTTATAAAATATAAAATCCTAACACTACCTTATTTATATATATTTGAACTATGCAAGTTTGTTCAAAAATACCCAAATTTCAATACCAAGCAAGATGATACCATAATTAAACCTCTTACGGTGAGTTGCAAAAAATGTCCATTAAGGTTTAATGACACTTAAGCTCTAATGAATGTCAAATTTGTATGGGTAATGTCCCTTTAAAGTAATGAAAATTTTAATGGACGTTTGTGCAACTGGCTGTTAGAGTTAGAAATAAATTAAGGCTACCACCTTCTAAAATGAAACAATTCTTCAAGCCCATGAATCATGACAATAAAAATTTATAACAAAAAATTTATTGATAATTTAAAACAATTACTCTTTAATAAGAGCTATTATTATAATATATCGGAATATATGACGATATGAAATGACGATAATATATAAAACGTAAATATAATGTACATATTTTATAGAGAAGTAATTAATATATATGTTGAGAATGAATGAATGAATGGATGATTAACAACAATTAGTAATAATACCAAATATAAGAATAATGATTATATTTACTATGATAATTGACAAATAAATTATAATTTGAATTACAGGTGGGCAATCGTGAGTGGGTAGGATTCGGCTTCAACGGACAACCTAACTATGTAGACAGGCCAGACTTTCCCATGCCTGCTGTCAGGTTCCGCCCAGATACACCTGATATCAAGGTAAGCTTTGTTGCATAAATGTAAGCTTTGTTTGATTTGTTAGTTACCAATACAATATTGAGTTGAGTTTGATATAAGAAGTGCGTTGATAGCTTGTGAGACAAAACTAATGTGAAACACTATGGTTTGAATAAAAGTATATGCTATACTACCTTTTTATTTGATTGCAAAAAGTCTAATACTCATGTACTGAAATAAATAAATGTACACCAGTTCGATTTGTAATTAGTTTAAGGGAAAAAATCTAAAGTTTCGCATCAATGCTTTTTTACTTTAGCCATAAGCACAAAAACGTAATATGTGCATTCTAATGAATTGCTCATTTTTAGTTCCATTTTCAAAAGTTTTTTGCTATTTTAAACAATTACTGTTTATAAGTAAATCAAACAGTAAAAAAATCATGAATAAAGACTTTTCTGTAGGTTCAATTGTAATAGACAATTAGGAACAATTTTTTCTTCTTCTAGAGTGAGAATGTTCTTTTTGGTTAGCGATATTCCTTATCTCTATGTTTAATCGCGGATTTTTGTAACAAGAGAATGTATAAGATTTTGTAATGATTCTAATGAACCAACGGCGAAAAAAAAAGAAGTTCCTACTGTGCTCATTATTACTTTACTCTTTTGTACTCTGTGAATAACATTTAACTTTACAAGAAAAGCTCTTTTCCCCACAACTTTGCACCCGTAAATTACAGCCTATGTTACCTGAAAAATTTATTAAAATCGCTTCAGTATTTTCAGAGTTAATTCGATGCATACAAACAAACAACCAAATCTTTCCTCTTTATAATATTAGTATAGGTTGTTTACTGCATGCATGTCATATTTAATTACTCTACAAAGTTTCTACAGAATCTTACTGTGGTGATACACAACATACATACTCTTTACGTGTGTGTGTGTGTGTGTGTGCATGTGTGTTATGTGATAAATTATGCATAACTACGATTTAGCATTTATTATTAATGCGCGCGCCATAATTAATAATGGCGCATCGTTCGCCACGTTGAAGCATAGTTACGCCATTGTACAGATCTCACAACTCGATCATCTGTCGTAGGTTTTGCGCGAAAAGGAAAAGGGTGATTGGCGCAAGTTGACCATAGAAGAGAAGAAAGCTTTGTACCGCGCGTCCTTCTGCCAGACGTTCGCCGAGTTCCAGGCGCCCACCGGCGAGTGGAAGGGGGTGGTGGGGTGGACGCTGCTCATCGCATCGTTCTCCCTATGGATATTTATGGGAATGAAACTGTTCGGTGAGGTTTTTCAAACGATAGCAAACCCATAAATCAAGTTATAATTCGTACGAATTAACACGACACCTGAGGGCTTATTCTATTTGTTCACGAATGAAAATTGGGAAAATTTTGAATCGTTAAATATACGTGAACATTATCCGTGCATCAGAGGCAGAGGTGTCGGGCCTCACTCCCTCAGGACAGCACAAGAATTTATATCCACATATCCGACATCTCATCCTTAACTGAAAATTTAAAATTTCTCTAATCCCAGTAGATCACGAGATATAGATTAGAAATTTACGTCAGAAAATGATCGTTTCAAATTTCGAGACAGTTTTTTTTCAACCCACCGATAAAAATATTGACTTAACAATGTGGCTGAATAGATTTAATTTTTTATATTCGATCAATTTTGCATTCACAATGCTATAATGAAAAATATTCTTAATGAAAAATACTTAAAAAATCCACTTTATCCCTGGCGCTCTGAGATTGGCCTTGAACTCACGAACCTGGATGGCGAAAGGTTGCAGGTTCGAATCCCATCCCGGAGTCCTCGGAGTTCCCAAATATTATGGATATAATTTCCTTCTGCATAGATGATTTTTGCCAATCACCAATTAAAATATGTTAAACCGCCTCAATTTGACGTTCTGTCATTGTCAATTTGCTTTAAGCGGCGCCATGAGTTTTGCCATGAGTGTACATCTTTCTCAGGTCGATAGTGAGATATCGTGACCGAGAAAAGCGACATCCGGATTGAGACCACACGATGATCTCCAGATAATAGTGGTACATATGTTTTGTGCAGTGTATCCTGAAATGCCCGAGTCCCTGAAGGAGGAGAACCAGAAGGCGCAGCTGCGCCGCATGCTCGACCTGAAGGTGAACCCCATCGACGGGCTCGCCTCCAAGTGGGACTACGAGAACAACCGCTGGAAGTAAACGTGCCCATCACGTGAGTTTATTTTATTCAAACTTTTACTGTCTACTAGAGTTGTCCGATTATCGATATATAATCAAAAAGAAAAACAGAATATTTGTTTATAGTGTTCGATCAAATTTTCTTTGATTTCCTGATGCTGATAATTATAAAAGCGAATTATTTATTGAAAATTTATAAATAAGTCCTCTGTTTTTTTTAGCTTTTATTAATTTTAAATATTATCGATTATGGCCCATTTTGATGAAATCTTAGAAAATTATTTTAGATAGATAATTATTTGTTTTTTTTTTGTTACAGCTATCTATACTGGTGCTCGGCTACAGCAACGATCAACAGTTGCTCATAGAGTAGAAGAATTATGTAATATAAATTAAGCGACATTTCTTATATGTAAGATAAAATAAAATGTGATTCCAAACAGCCCACAATCTTTTAATTTAAAATAATTGACTAATATGCAAGTTACCTACCTGTTAGTCAAACTTTTGACGTTTGTTCGTATTTACGCCAACGTACAGTCAACAGTACGTTAGAATATACGAAACTGAAATTCCGCACTCGATTTTAAACCTTAACGCATTGAGAGTAGATTTCAAAATGCATTGCTGAAGTCCGACATAATGTGATAGCTTGAGTGCAGCCGTGATACATGCATCACACTCATTCGCAAAGTCAGCTGACATCCATTTTGCATATGTATACACTAGTCAAACTGATTGGTCTAATTTGCTTTGTTATTTAAACACTGGAACACCGTTGCAGTTTTTCATACTGCTCTTCTATTATTAAAAAAACTAAAATTAAACTATGATAAACGCCAATTACATAATGCAAATAACAATAAGCTACTTTGGAAGACCATCAAAGAAATCACATACACTGTCAAAACTAAAGATACACCTACAAAATTGCTTATTGATAATCCGTCACAATCAATTAACAATGTTAACCGATTTTTTGTAAATATTGGGGAATCTTTAGCACAGAAAATAATGAAACCCTACACTGCTGCATCGACATTTTCGTCCAATTCACAAACAAACTCTTTTGTTCTACTACCGACTGACGATGATGAAATTCAAACCTTAATTGAAAATCTAAAATCTGACTGCACTGTGGGCATAGACTCAATCCCAGCTGAGTTATTAAAAAGAAATAAAGGCGTTTTAGTCCCCCCAATCACATACATATGTAACCTGGCAATGACGACTGGTATATTTCCAACTGCATTAAAGAAAGCAAGAATTTATCCCATCCATAAGAATGGTGATGAAGACTGCGTAGAAAACTATAGACCCATAAGTATTCTAACAAGTTTATCGAAAATTTTGGAATGCTTACTTAATACAAGATTAACTAATTACCTTGAAAAGTATAATATCGTATTATATCGCAGTACAAATATGGCTTCAGATCTAAAAAATCAACTTCTGATGCAGTGCATACATTGACAAACTTTTTGGTAACCAGTTTGGACAGTAAAAAGAAAGCAATCGCTGTGTTTCTGGATCTCGCAAAAGCATTCGATACTGTCTCTGTCCCAATCTTGATAAAAAAGCTTGAAAGAGTCGGTGTCAGGAATTCCCAACTCAAAATTTTTGAAAGTTACCTAACCAACCGTAGCCAATGCGTCAAAATTAATAACTTCTGCAGCGAAGAGCTACCAATCACCTTCGGTGTACCGCAGGGCAGTATTTTAGGACCAACACTATTTTTAGTATATATCAACAATCTCTGTGAGCTGCAACTTCCATATACTAAAATTATAACATATGCAGATGACACAGCTTTGTTATTTAATAGTGGTTCTTGTGATGAAGTCTTTACAAACGCTCAGAATGGTTTAAATACAGTATCAAATTGGCTTACCGAGAATATATTGACAGTATATATTAAAAAAACACAATTTCTTTATTTTTCATTAAAAGACACTGATACAAACATAGTTCAAAATAATTTATTATTACACAACTGCATGAATCCTACAAGCTCAAGTTGTATATGTCCAGAGATACAAATTGTCTCTTCGATAAAATACTTAGGAGTAGTGATAGATAACAAATTAAGTTTTCAAGAACATATAGAACTTTTATCAAAACGAGTAAGAAAATTAATAGTTATTTTTAAAAAGCTACGCCAAATTGCTGATAAAAAACTGATGAAAAATATTTACCAAACACTCTGTCAATCACTGTTCACATATTGTATCACCACTTGGGGAGGCTCTACAAAAAGTAATATGTTAAAAATAGAAAGGGCGCAACGTGCCATTTTGAAAGTGAGTCACTCCCTACCTTACTATCGTTCGACTGAGGATTTTTATCAGCGGTCGGAAGACTTAACAGTGCGTCAGTTGTACATCCTCCAAACAATTTTATATCAGCATTCTGCAGACGAGTATAACCCTAAACAACTGGATGGAAGACGTAGGAAGGATCTCGTCTATAAAATACCACAATTAAGGACATCTCTTTCACATCGATTTATTTGTTTCCAGGGTGCCTCTTTATAAAATAAGATAAGTAAAATACATCTAATATACAAACTTACGAAAACACAGATAAAGAAAAAGATTGGAAACTGGCTACAGAAACTTAATTATAACGAAACAGAGAATTTACTAACAACACATACATAAAGTAATAACTATTATTATATAAAAACACACATCACCAAAACACATTCACACTGAAACTTTCTTACTATCACACTTGTTCACTCACATAAACATTCAAAATACATAATCAAACACAAATTGACTACTGGATTGTTTCACTTTTTTTAAATTTTTTTTTACTTTTTCATTTTTTTCCAATATTTTCCTTGTAGTAAAATAAGCACAATAGTTACTTAGTCATTTAATGCGAAAATAGTCATAATTCCCGTGGGGTGGGTCCTGGTGATCTGTATTTCAGGCTATCGCCCCTTACAGACACCAGTTCCTCACAAAGTCGACAGGCAATCTTCTTTTTGTAATTGTGTTTAGTCAATAAACATGTAACCATGTCCCTTCTAGGGGTAAGTCTATGGTTCTATAATAAGAGCAATTAATATGTTATGCATATTTTCAAATTGCTTTTTTGGACAATCAGTGTTCTGTATAGATTTCAAAGTGGTACTATTTTCTCCAGATTTTTCATTCTTTATTATTAGGTTTTTGTATCTGTAACTGAACCCTATATATTAGACATAAATTATAACTTTTACCATTAGCCGCCTCATTATCTACAATTATAGTAGCCACGAGACACTCAACATTTGTATAATGAAAGGAAAGAGGGTTAGTTTCCATTTCCAAATCTATTTGGCTTATCCACCAAATGGTACATTTTACTGTCCCTATACCATTCCACAAAACTTAATTCCTTCGGCAGCAGCATAATTTCTCTTAATCAGTACGATGCTACGGTGCCATTGTCATAGATCAGCCTTTTGAAGTCACTAAGAAAAGTGTTGTACTGTTCCAGTGAAGTTTCATGGTCACGGTATAACTCAACTCACACATCTATATTATGTGTGTCTGTACTTCAACATCCGCCCATACACATTCTGTATTTGGATACTTGGTTTTGAAACGCTCCATGCTATATAATCCCCCCACTTTCAGTATTTATGCACGAGTCACACTAAAAATCTTCGATCATCCTTTAATCGACTACTTGTTTGCCCCTCTCTTCACTCTGACGTCATGCATTCCTCCTTTTTCATTAAGGCTATTTTTCTATGGAACGCACTACCCTCAGATATCAGAATGTCCCCCAATCGGTTAGTTTTCAGAACAAAATTGCGCGACTTTATACTGAAACAGCCAGATTCATGAAAATCGTTAACTCAGGTCTAATTAAGAGAGTTATAGAATAATTTATTCATCTATGTATTTATATGTATTTGTGTATTTATATCCCAGTGTTTGTCTAAATTGAGTACTTTATGTGTAAGTATATATTTTCGTCTTGTCGTTTAAAGTCTTGTCGTGTAAAGTCTTAAAGTCTCCACATCACCTAAAGGTTGACTGGCAGAGAATGCCTAAGGCATTAAGTCCGTCTTTGTACTTTAGTGCATAAAGTATTAAATAAATAAACGGCTATTTTTTCTTGCAGTTGTATAAGGAGTCTGGTTAGAAATATTTAAAGCGAAACCACCACTTCTTCTATATCGATGCGGTCTTCTCTGTGTGTCATAGCCGGGTATTTTTATGAATGAATTTAGTATACTTCTGTGAGTATGATAAAACCAGTTTTGTCGTAATTGATTGTATGTTGGTGTATAGTATTTTTATTTCGACAAGTAATTATCTTTTTTCATATTTACGGGCAAGCACGGGCCATTGAGAACTAGTTTTTTGGATCCATGACAATTATTTTAAGCTGACCTTGAACACGCTTAAGAGTTAGATCTCACTCTCCACTACTTTTGCGTTTTCCAGCTCGTTACTTGGATATTTTAGGTATTCTCGTTAGTTGCAGCTTGGTCAGGTTTGATAGAAAGGTTTAGCCAGTTTAGTTTTATTAACTCGAAAAAGGACTTCAAGAACTTCAAAAAGGAGGTAATCAATTCGATATGTATGTAATTTCGTTAGAGTGACGTAATATTCATATATATTGGTTTGTATGAGCTTGTAAACACGTGTGCTAAATTTTATAGGTGTATATTATGTATGTGTGTCTAAATGTTTGACAACGTTTTTGTTGTAAATTAGATATTGGGTTGAAAATAAACTTTTTTGTTCGATTTACTATTTTCAACTTAGGGAACAACATAAGAGAAAACTTACTAAATGACATAAGAAACGAACCGTGACCAGAATAGTAGGTGGATTGATTAGAACTGAGATCCGAATTAAAAATAATTGCTTCAAGAATATTGGTTAGAACTGCTGCCATTCAAGAAAATGTTTATCCGGTAAATATAAGTATGTTTAAATACAGACGAAGGTGTCCATTTATTATTATAAATTAGAAGTAAGAATATGGAACGGTGATAACTACTATAATTAAAAAAAGAAAGAAAAGAAAAGCAATTTTAGAAAATTTTATTAACTTCTAAAAAATCGTAACTTCTAAAAAATTTTATCTTCAATGAAATCGAAACACAAAATTGGATACCAACAATATTTTCTTCGAAACATGGTTTTATATATTATAAAGTTAGTTAGTGACTCAATTTATCAAGAGTTAATTCGATACTGCGCAATAATTGGAATCAGTATGATTTTATAAAAACCTAAGTCTTGAAGAAAGGCGGTGGAAAAAAAAATACAAATTTGGGAACAACTTTTTAATTTCATAAAAAAACAACTTTCCGACATAATAAAACAATTCATCCACTGAGCATTGTAAAACAATAAATATATTTATATTATAATCATATCTATAGTATTATCACCTATTTATTTATTTATTTTGATTTTATTTA